CAGCCTGCACCTCACTGCGTGCTGGCTGCTCCTTGGCAAATACAACCTTAGGCTCTGGGGACAGGGAGGGAAACACAGTCAGTGGCCCCACAGAGGTGAGCCCTGGAGCCACAACAGAGGCTGAGTCACCAGAAAACCACGGGTCCCCATGAGATCTTTTGTGCTCAGGCACTGCACCACAACCCTCCCAGGAACAGGGGGGCCTGACTGGTGCCTCAGGACAGAGGGAAGCATAGGGGCCAAGCAGAGATCCCCCTCCTGGGGGTCAGGATAGGGTCCAGCAGGACTCAGACAATGCACCAAGAGGCCCCAGTGGTTTCTAGGTAGAGCCAGGACCGCATAATCACTGAGATCCAAATCTATCCTGATGAGGGTGCTTCCAGCACCTTTTGGGTCCTCAGCCTCCTTTGAGAACAAGGACTTCGAATTCCTTCTGCTTTGGCGTTGTTCATCCATCTCAAGGTGAGTTTCCTGGGGAATTTCTTCTCCCAATTCCAAGCATCTGCCCACCCCCACCACTCGCGTAAGCAATGAAGAGCCTGGCAGCTCCGCCTTGCAAGTGCCAGATGGAGCTGGACCTGCTCCCCACCCACCGAGCCCAGGAGTTGTCACCTCACCACAGACACACAGCCTTGAGATCCACAAGAGATTGCCCTGTAATTTTAACTCTCTCAATCAGATGTTGGCGATAGATGTTATGTTAGTGCCATGAGATAAGCCAGAGACTATATCTGCTTTTCTATCCTTCAAAGAATCTCCATGAACATGCAATATTTTCTTTATAGAATGTTTCATATAATTTTCACGTGGCACCACTGGGGTTTCATCTTTATCTATGACAGGTCTGTTGGTTTTTTCTGGTTCCATTTCATTAAAAGGCTAGAAGACTATATGAGTTTCAAAATCTTTGCCACTTTTCATGTACTTTTCTAAGAAATTTATAAAAGATTTTCATACTACTAAAAAATAATTTGTTCTAGTCTTCTAAAGTAACATTTAAAACATGTACAGTGGATATTTGGGTATCTAGAAACACCCACAAAGTACTGTATACAGATAGATATAGTATCCAACCGCTCTGTAGAGGCACCTAGAAGTCGATCTGAGGTTAACCACTCTTAACAAAATGGAAATATCGTTAGTTCACAGCCACCTCTGTGAATGCACCAGAGACGGACAAATACACAAGAGTCATCAGGAAATGCTACAAAATAAATACTGATTTAACAGTCGGGCCATCAGGACAGTAACTGGTCTGCAACAAAGCGTGCATGTGGGAGAAGCCCCTTCTTCCTCTCCATGGTGAAACCTATGCATCAGACCCCAAGGAGATGCTGTCACAGGGGACACAAGAAAACCAACGTGTACTTTAGAGAGAAAATTCCAGACCTCAGAGCTGCAGGTCCCTGACACACACCTGCCAATCCTCTGGTCTTGGTTTACTGTTTGCACAGACCTTGCAAGAATACATGGATTGAGATTTTGCAACAAGTGAGCATACAGTACTTTCTACATCCACATGCAAGACAAAGTGTCCTATATAACTACAGTGTGCTAAGCCACTGTTCAGTCTCCAGATAGAGCCAAGGAGGGTTGGGTGGCAGGATCCTATCCTGGTTTAAGGAAATTCAAACATGTGTCCCTAGAGTGAATCGCACTTGTGGCTGGGTGTGGGCATCTGGGAGCCCCCAGGACGTGGAGAGGAGGAACTTCACCTAAACAGGTAAGAGATGTCTGTTCTACCTCAGACTCCAAGTGAAAGGCAGAGCCACACTCCCAGACGCCAAGGAGCACCCAGAACGCCCTGGGCAGGTGCTGGGAACGTGGACTGAACACAACCTGAGCACCACTCGGGGGGCACAGGAGCACCTCTCCCTTCTGCTCACACTGCCCATCCAGCCTTCTCTGGCCCAACCTCGGGTATGAAATGGGAGGTGGAGGACAGGAGGCTAAAGGAGATGAGGTCCAGTGGAAAGATCACCAGGGTGTGTTCTGCTGTAATCACTCCCCACACACAAGGCTCAGTTAGTGTCACCAAAGAACTGACCTGTGACATCCACATGGAAGGTGACCTTCTGGCCCCCGGCCTCGCAGCTGTACTCCCCACCATCCGCCTTGCCCGCCTGCTGCAGCACCAGGCGCCGGGTGCAGCCCGTGGCCTCCACACGCACTTTCGAGCTCCCACTGAGCTTCTTGCCGTCCTTGTACCACGTCACCTGTGTCTGGGCCTGGGCCACCTCGCAGCTCAGCGTGGCACTGGCCCCTGCCATGGCCTGCACCTCACTGCGTGCCTGTTGCTCCTTGGCAAACACCACCTTGGGCTCTGGGGACAGGGAGGAACACACAGGGTCAGAGACTTCATCTACGTCAGGACAGCACTGTGGAAAGGACTCAACAGGGAATTGGGAGGACTGGAAACTTCTCCAGGCTCTGCACCCACTCGGTGGCCTATAGAAGCCCCAGTGCCTTCTCAGCACAAGGAACACATTCATCTGCACACTGACCACTGCCCACGTGGCTGTCCAAGGTGGGCACACTGTGAAGGACTTCTCCAGAGCACACACCCTCTAGCAGAGGGACTTCAGGCCAGCATGAGTCCACACCACCCTCCCAGATGGCCAAATCTTTCCTGCATTGCCCAGGGAGCCTTCTCACCCAGCCCAGGACAGTTACAGGCTCCACCTCCCCCTGCCCTCCTTGTGTCACCTGCTGCCCACCTAGGGGAGTGAGCTGAAGCTCCTGTGTCTGTCTCTTCCCTGGTTTTGATGACTCACAAAGTGAAGGACCTTTCCTATGTTTTGGGTCATGACTGCTCTTCTGTAGTGTCACCACTCATATGGCTTTTGTAATATTTCTCATCACTCTTACCAAGTCTAATCATTTACCTCTTGGGTAAATTACATCATCTGTCAGTTCCACTTAAGTTTTTCACACTTTTATATCTTTTACTTTATTTCCTGCTGATAAAAGTGGTGACTGTCAGCTTCCTTGCCTGGTTCCTTACCTCACAGGCTAACCTTTCAAGTTTCACTTTGTGTGATTACCTGGTTTTCCTTCAATATCATTGATCAAATTAAGGAAGAACCATTTTATTTAAAAGTGGAGATGAGTTTTACAGCATGAACAGATGCTAACTTTACCAAATATTTCTTCTAGCAAATATTTCTTCTAGATTTGTGACGTTAAATTTTATACAGACTTGACTCTGCATTTATGAGGTGATCATGTCATGTTTTTCTTTCATATGCTTGTATCATTCATTATATTTGCTCATGTTTCTAGTGTTCAGACAACCTGGTGCCCTGGACTGTGACTTTCATTATACTGTGTCATCCTCTGAATACACTGCTGAATTGATTTTGAAAAAATTTAGCTTCAGATTTCGGCCTTGACATCCACGAGAGATTCGCCTGTAATTTTAACTCTCCCTATCAGATGTTGGTGATAGATGTGAGGCTACTGCCATGAGATAAGCCAGAGACTGTATCTCCTTTTCTATCTCTCCAAGAATCTTCATAAACGTGCAATACTTTCTTTATAGAATATTTCAAATAATTTTCCAGTGGAGACACTAGGGTTCCATCTTTATCTACGAGAAGATTTATTTTATGGTTCAATTTATTAAAAAGCCTATAGAACTATTTCAGTTGTCAAAATCTTATTTCACTTTTCATGTATTTTTTTATGAATTTGGTCAGTGTGTCAGACCTTTTCATATTTACTACTATAAAATAATTGGTCAAGCCCTGCCGGGCATGGCTCAGTGGATAAGCATCGACCTGGGATCCAGGCGATCGGGGTTTGATTCCCGGTCAGGGCACATGCCCGGGTTGCGGACTCGATCAATGACTCTCTCACCATTGATGTTTCTGTCTCTCTCCCTCCCTCTCCTTTCCTCTCTCTGAAATCAATAAAGATATATATTTAAAAAAAAATTTTTAAACATAATAATAATTGATCAAATTCTCATAAACTAAAACATGTACAGTGGACTTTTGGGTATCTATACACAATCACAAACTACTGTATATAGATATAATACCCAACTGCTCTGTAGAGGCACCTAGAAGTCCATCTGACGTTAACCGCTCTTAACAAAGTGGAAATATAGTTAGTTCACAGACACCTACCTCTGTGAATGCACCAGAGACGCGCAAATACACAAGAGTCATCAGGAAATGCTAGGAAATAAATACTGATTTAACAGTCAGGGGCCATCAGGACAGTAACTGGTCTGCAACAAAGCGTGCATGTGGGAGAAGCCCCTTCTTCCTCTCCATGGTGAAACCTATGCATCAGACCCCAAGGAGATGCTGTCACAGGGGACACAAGAAAACCAACGTGTACTTTAGAGAGAAAATTCCAGACCTCAGAGCTGCAGGTCCCTGACACACACCTGCCAATCCTCTGGTCTTGGTTTACTGTTTGCACAGACCTTGCAAGAATACATGGATTGAGATTTTGCAACAAGTGAGCATACAGTACTTTCTACATCCACATGCAAGACAAAGTGTCCTATATAACTACAGTGTGCTAAGCCACTGTTCAGTCTCCAGATAGAGCCAAGGAGGGTTGGGTGGCAGGATCCTATCCTGGTTTAAGGAAATTCAAACATGTGTCCCTAGAGTGAATCGCACTTGTGGCTGGGTGTGGGCATCTGGGAGCCCCCAGGACGTGGAGAGGAGGAACTTCACCTAAACAGGTAAGAGATGTCTGTTCTACCTCAGACTCCAAGTGAAAGGCAGAGCCACACTCCCAGACGCCAAGGAGCACCCAGAACGCCCTGGGCAGGTGCTGGGAACGTGGACTGAACACAACCTGAGCACCACTCGGGGGGCACAGGAGCACCTCTCCCTTCTGCTCACACTGCCCATCCAGCCTTCTCTGGCCCAACCTCGGGTATGAAATGGGAGGTGGAGGACAGGAGGCTAAAGGAGACGAGGTCCAGTGCAAAGACCACCAGGGTGTGTTCTGCTGTAATCACTCCCTACACACAAGGCTCAGTTAGTGTCACCAAAGAACTGACCTGTGACATCCAGGCTGAAGGTGACCTTCTGGCCCCCGGCCTCGCAGCTGTACTCCCCGCCATCCGCCTTGCCCGCCTGCTGCAGCACCAGGCGCCGGGTGCAGCCCGTGGCCTCCACACGCACTTTCGAGCTCCCACTCAGCTTCTTGCCATCCTTGTACCACGTCACCTGTGTCTGGGCCTGGGCCACCTCGCAGCTCAGCGTGGCACTGGCCCCTGCCACGGCCTGCACCTCACTGCGTGCCTGCTGCTCCTTGGCAAACACCACCTTGGGCTCTGGGGACAGGGAGGGACACACAGGGTCAGAGACTTCATCTAAGTCAGGAGGACAGCACTGTGGAAAGAAGGACTGAACACTGAATTGGGAGGACTGGAAACTTCTCCAGGATCTGCATCTGCTGTGTGACCTGCAAAAACTGCAATAGTATTTAATTCTGTGAGAGCACAGTGCTTGAAACATTTTCCCCACTGTGATGTAAGCCTAACAGCTTTTAAATATGTGGTCTAAAAACACTGCCTATGAACCCTTTTTGTTGGGTTCTCTGCTTGAATAAACAATCCTTTACCTCTGGGCTTTATATTATGATATGTAGCAACAGATTCTTCCTCTCTGATGGAGGTTTTATAAAATTGTAATAGGATTCATTAGAAAGTGTTTTCTCCCTGCTTGTCCTTATTTGCATAATGTCCTTAGCTCTCAAGCTTTGGAAACTGGAGGAAATCGGTTCCTAGCTTCCTTCTCAAGTGTGTGCAAGGAGTTGGATGGCATCTGAGTTCCATTTGGACCTTCAGGGCTGGCCCTGGACTGAGTTACCTATTCTCCAGGCAAATACAAAAATGGCTTGTAAAATGGTTCCTAGGTAAACGTCACATTTCTCCCAATGAAATATTTCCCTAGAGCACTCATCCAATTAACGCCGACCTTACATAGAAGGGTTTTGAAAGAGAATGTGTGTAATTTATGTGACTCAAACCACAGGTTGCATGGAAAAAGAAAGCTCTTGGAAGACATGCTTAGGATGGGTTGCTAGAATGTGCTCTCACATAGGTGAGATGGGGACCATGGAGAGGACAGCAGTCTCCACCTGGTGGTCACAGTGGGCAGTGGCTGAACCGGCATGGGCTGTGGAAAGGGGTCCCTTGACTTGCTTCTGCCTTCAGTCCAAAAGGACNCGGCATTGACCCATGAACTAGGAGGTCACAGTTTGATTCCGGGTCAGGGCACATGCCCTGGTTGCCAGCTTGATCCCGGTGATCGTGCAGGAGGCGGCCAGTCAATGACTCTCTCATCATTGATATTTCTATCTCTCTCTCTCCCTTCCCCTCTCTGAAATCAATAAAGATACATACATTTTAATTAAAAAGAAATAATGTTTGACAAAGATCATGGTGAGTTTTGGGGTATCTATAAACTCCCACTAACCATTATATCATGACATAATGCCAAACAGTTATGTGTTGGCAGGTAGAGCTCAGTGTAGGTTGGCAGCAACTGTTGCCTGATAGTAACACCCTCTTAATAAGAGGAAAATAAATTTAGTTTGGAGACTTCTCTATAAATCAGAGTAGAATAGAAACACAAACCACTAGGAGAAATTTNATAGAAACACGAACCATTAGGAGAAATTCTCTAAAATAAATACTGCTTTAAGAGACAGTGGTGGTGCTACTAGAGGAACTCAAAATTGACAGTCTGTGCTGATGTACTATCAGAAACTCACTCTTTTCACTTCTGATTACAAATCAAACTGCAAGAACAATATGGACATAGACTGTTCTAACAGCAGACAATGGAAAACATGGATCTATAACCTGGCACATGGAGTAAAAAGAGCAGTGTCCTTGAAGACCTAAAGCTATGATACACCAAGTGTTAGTTTTGAAATAACCCAGGTATGAACCAGTGGCCAAAATTATGCCTAACTTTGGTTCAGTCCATTCAAACAGCTCTCGCTAGCAAGAACCCTCATGTGCTGCTGGGTGAAGGAATGCAGGAAAGTCAACAGAAGGATGTTCACATACTGCAGGTAAGAGACAACCCCAAACCCCAAGCACAGGCACAGCCAGAGTCCTGAATACCCGGCCACAGCAGGATGATTCTGGGCATCTGCCGGGAACATGTGACAAAGCATTACTACATGGAAACACCACTCAGCGGGCACCACTCACTCTCCCCATCCAGACGCCATGGGCTCAGCCATGGGCGTGAAAATGGGAAGTGGCAGGATGGGAGACCTGGAGGTATGAAGTCTAATGAAAAGAGCACAGAGGTCCATTGGGTCTGTTGGTCAATGGCATCATCTCCTGCAAACAGGCCCAGTTAGCACCCCCACACAACTGACCTGTGACATCCACATGGAAGGTGACCTTCTGGCCCCCGGCCTCGCAGCTGTACTCCCCACTGTCCGCCTTGCCCGCCTGCTGCAGCACCAGCTGCTGTGTGCAGCCCTTGGCCTCCATGCGCACTTTCGAGCTCCCACTCAGCTTCTTGCCGTCCTTGTACCACGTCACCTGAGTCTGGGCCTGGGCCATCTCGCAGCTCAGTGTGGTGCTGGCCCCCTCCACAGCCTGCACCTCACTGCGTGCTGGCTGCTCCTTGGCAAATACAACCTTAGGCTCTGGGGACAGGGAGGGAAACACAGTCAGTGGCCCCACAGAGGTGAGCCCTGGAGCCACAACAGAGGCTGAGTCACCAGAAAACCACGGGTCCCCATGAGATCTTTTGTGCTCAGGCACTGCACCACAACCCTCCCAGGAACAGGGGGGCCTGACTGGTGCCTCAGGACAGAGGGAAGCATAGGGGCCAAGCAGAGATCCCCCTCCTGGGGGTCAGGATAGGGTCCAGCAGGACTCAGACAATGCACCAAGAGGCCCCAGTGGTTTCTAGGTAGAGCCAGGACCGCATAATCACTGAGATCCAAATCTATCCTGATGAGGGTGCTTCCAGCACCTTTTGGGTCCTCAGCCTCCTTTGAGAACAAGGACTTCGAATTCCTTCTGCTTTGGCGTTGTTCATCCATCTCAAGGTGAGTTTCCTGGGGAATTTCTTCTCCCAATTCCAAGCATCTGCCCACCCCCACCATTCGCGTAAGCAATGAAGAGCCTGGCAGCTCCGCCTTGCAAGTGCCAGATGGAGCTGGACCTGCTCCCCACCCACCAAGCCCAGGAGTTGTCACCTCACCACAGACACACAGCCTTGAGATCCACAAGAGATTGCCCTGTAATTTTAACTCTCTCAATCAGATGTTGGCGATAGATGTTATGTTAGTGCCATGAGATAAGCCAGAGACGATATCTGCTTTTCTATCCTTCAAAGAATCTCCATGAACATGCAATATTTTCTTTATAGAATGTTTCATATAATTTTCACGTGGCACCACTGGGGTTTCATCTTTATCTATGACAGGTCTGTTGGTTTTTTCTGGTTCCATTTCATTAAAAGGCTAGAAGACTATATGAGTTTCAAAATCTTTGCCACTTTTCATGTACTTTTCTAAGAAATTTATAAAAGATTTTCATACTACTAAAAAATAATTTGTTCTAGTCTTCTAAAGTAACATTTAAAACATGTACAGTGGATATTTGGGTATCTAGAAACACCCACAAAGTACTGTATACAGATAGATATAGTATCCAACCGCTCTGTAGAGGCACCTAGAAGTCGATCTGAGGTTAACCACTCTTAACANGAGGCACCAGGAAGTCAATCTGAGGTTAACCACTCTTAACAAAATGGAAATATAGTTAGTTCACAGCCACCTCTGTGAATGCACCAGAGATGGACAAATACACAAGAGTCATCAGGAAATGCTACAAAATAAATACTGATTTAACAGTCGGGCCATCAGGACAGTAACTGGTCTGCAACAAAGCGTGCATGTGGGAGAAGCCCCTTCTTCCTCTCCATGGTGAAACCTATGCATCAGACCCCAAGGAGATGCTGTCACAGGGGACACAAGAAAACCAACGTGTACTTTAGAGAGAAAATTCCAGACCTCAGAGCTGCAGGTCCCTGACACACACCTGCCAATCCTCTGGTCTTGGTTTACTGTTTGCACAGACCTTGCAAGAATACATGGATTGAGATTTTGCAACAAGTGAGCATATAGTACCTTCTACATCCACATGCAAGACAATGTGTCCTAAATAACTAGTGTGCTAAGCCACTGTTCAGTCTCCAGAAAGAGCCAAGGAGGGTTGGGTGGCAGGATCCTATCCTGGTTTAAGGAAATTCAAACATGTGTCCCTAGAGTGAATCGCACTTGTGGCTGGGTGTGGGCATCTGGGAGCCCCCAGGACGTGGAGAGGAGGAAATTCACCTAAACAGGTAAGAGATGTCTGTTCTACCTCAGACTCCAAGTGAAAGGCAGAGCCACACTCCCAGATGCCAAGGAGCACCCAGAAGNTGAACACAACCTGAGCACCACTCGGGGGGCACAGGAGCACCTCTCCCTTCTGCTCACACTGCCCATCCAGCTTCCTATGGCCCAACCTCGGGTATGAAATGGGAGGTGGAGGACAGGAGGCTAAAGGAGACGAGGTCCAATGCAAAGACCACCAGGGTGTGTTCTGCAGTAACCACTCCCTACACACAAGGCTCAGTTAGTGTCACCAAAGAACTGACCTGTGACATCCAGGCTGAAGGTGACCTTCTGGCCCCCGGCCTCGCAGCTGTACTCCCCGCCATCCGCCTTGCCCGCCTGCTGCAGCACCAGGCGCCGGGTGCAGCCCGTGGCCTCCACACGCACTTTCGAGCTCCCACTCAGCTTCTTGCCATCCTTGTACCACGTCACCTGTGTCTGGGCCTGGGCCACCTCGCAGCTCAGCGTGGCACTGGCCCCTGCCACGGCCTGCACCTCACTGCGTGCCTGCTGCTCCTTGGCAAACACCACCTTGGGCTCTGGGGACAGGGAGGGACACACAGGGTCAGAGACTTCATCTAAGTCAGGAGGACAGCACTGTGGAAAGAAGGACTGAACAGGGAATTGGGAGGACTGGAAACTTCTCCAGGATCTGCACCTGGTGTGTGACCTGCAAAAACTGCAATAGTATTTAATTTTGTGAGAGCACAGTGCTTGAAATATTTTCCCCACTGTGATGTAAGCCTATCAGCTTTTAAATATGTGGTCTAAAAACACTGCCTATGAACCTTTTTTGTTGGGTTCTCTGCTTGAATAAACAAACCTTTACCTTTGGGCTTTATATTATGATATGTAGCAACAGATTCTTCCTCTCTGATGGAGGTTTTATAAAATTGTAATAGGATTCATTAGAAAGTGTTTTCTCCCTGCTTGTCCTTATTTGCATAATGTCCTTAGCTCTCAAGCTTTGGGAACTGGAGGAAATCGGTTCCTAGCTTCCTTCTCAAGTGTGTGCAAGGAGTTGGATGGCATCTGAGTTCCATTTGGACCTTCAGGGCTGGCTCTGGACTGAGTTATCTATTCTTTGGGCAAATACCAAATTGGCTTGTAAAATGGTTCCTAGGTAAACGTCACATTTCTCCCAATGAAATATTTCCCTAGAGTGCTGGTCCAATTAAGGCCAACCTTACATAGAAGGGTTTTGAAAGAGAATGTGTGTAATTTATGTGACTCAAACCACAGGTTGCATGGAAAAAGAAAGCTCTTGGAAGACATGCTTAGGATGGGTTGCTAGAATGTGCTCTCACATAGGTGAGATGGGGACCATGGAGAGGACAGCAGTCTCCACCTGGTGGTCACAGTGGGCAGTGGCTGAACCGGCATGGGCTGTGGAAAGGGGTCCCTTGACTTGCTTCTGCCTTCAGTCCCAACAGAGAGCAAGATGGTGGGTCATAAAGACTTTAGACACAAAAGGCAAGTGGATCAGCATGGCAGGTCTGCTTTGGGGGAGCAGGGGAAAGTGTTTCAAGACCTTCTGAAGGCCTTTTTGGAAACACTCTTTTCTAATGTTTTTTAAATATATATATATATTTAAATTGCTTTCAGAGAGAGGAAGGGAGAGGGAGAGAGTCATAGAAACATCAGTGATGAGAGGATCATCAATTGGCTGCCTCCTGCATGCCCTTTACTGGGGGTTGAGCCCACAACCCCAGCATGTGCCCTGACTGGGAATCAAACTGTGATCTCCAGTGTCATGGGTGGATCCTCAACCACTGAGCCACACCACTCAGGCTCATTTCTAATTTTTAAATTAAATTTACTGGGGTGACATTGGTTAATAAAATTATATACGTTTCAAGTGTACAAGTCTACAATACATCATCTGTATATTGTACTGTGTGTTCACCAACCAAAGTGAAGTCTCCTTCTGACACCATTTATCCCCCCACTTCTACCTGCCCCCTTCCCCTCTGATAATCACTATACTGTCATCTGTGTCTAGGAGGTGTGTTTTTGCTTAATCCCTTTATCTATTTTACCCAGCGGCAATACCCCTCCCCTCTAACAGCTGTCAGCTTGCTCTGTATCTATGAGTCTGTTTCTATTGTGTTTGTTTGTGTATTTTGTTCATTAGTTGCCACATATAAGTGAAATCATATGGGATTTGTCTTTCTCTGACTAGCTTGTTTCACTTAGCATAATACCCTCTAGGTCTGTCCATGCTGTCACAAAAGGTAAGATTCCTTCTTTTTGATGGCTGAGTAGTATTTCATTGTTTAAATGTAAAACCTCAGGCATTTCTCACAGCAATATTTTCTCAGATATATCTCCTCAGGCAAGGGAAACAAAGAAAAATAAATAAATGGGACTAAGTCAAACTAAAAAGCTTCTGTACAACAAAGGAAACCATCAACAAAATGAAAAGACAATCCACTGGATGGGAGAACATATTTGCCCATGATACATGTGATAAGGGGTTGTTATTCAAAATTTATAAAAGACTCAAACAAGTCAACACCAAAAGCCCCAAAACCATTCAATTAAGAAATGGACAATGGACCTGAATAGACACTTCTTAAAAGAGACCATGGCAATGGCCAAGAAACATATGGAAAGATGTTCAACATCACTAATCATCAGAGAAATGCAAATTAAAACCACAGTGACATATTTCACACCTGTCAGAATGGCTATGATCAATAAATCAACAATCCTAGCCAGATGGCTCAGTTGGTTATAGCCTTGACCCATACACCAAAAAGACTGCAGGCTTGATTCCTGGTCAGAGCACATACCTAGCTTTCCGGTTCAATCCCCAGTTGGTGCAAGAAGCAATCAGTGTTTCTCTCTCACATCTATGTTCCCCTCCCTCCCTCCATCATTCCCTCCCTCTCTCTCCTCCTTCTCTCTCTCCTATCTCTATCTCTATCTCTATCTCTATCTCTATCTCTATCTCTATCTCTATCTCTATGTCTCTTTCCAACTTCTTCTCTCTCTAAAAAATCGATAAAAAGATACACTCGGGTAGGATTAAAAAATAAGTAGATAGCTAAATAAATCAGCCAACAACAAGTGTTGGCAAGGGTATGGTGAAAAGGGAACTCTCGTGCACTGTTGGTGGGAATGCAGATTGGTGCAGCCACTGTGGAAAACGGTATGGAGTTTCTCAAAAAAATTAAAAGTGACACTGCCTTATGACCCAGTGTTTCCACTTCTGGGAATATATTGGAAGAAGCCTGAAACACTGGTTCAAAAGAATATATGTACCCCTATGTTCATAGCACCGCTATTTACGACAGCCAAGATGTGGAAGCAGCCCGAGTGCCCATCAGTAGATGAGTGGACTCACTTCATTTTTTATAGGAATAAGCCAAGAGAATGTGTCCTGTACATTTCCTGTTGGTACAACACACACTGAGGATGCTGTAAGGGCTGGTGGCATTTCTTTCCTTCTTTCTTTTCCCATAG